CATCCTTGAATTTAAACCCAGCATAAGCCTACTGGCCTTCTCACTTCTTTCACTGATCCTTCCAGGATCTTCCCCACCTTTCCCTTCTTTACTGCCCTGTTCTATGCACTATACATTGCACTGTTCACTTCTGGCTCTGTCTTTTTCCCTGTTGCCTCCCACCCCAGAACATCTGTGCCTAGACGAAGTATGTTGTGGATCAACACATGGAACAAAGGTGTATATTCTGATATTTTTTTTCCTGACATGTACATTCCCCCCCCCCCATTTAACTATGGGATTCCTGAATTTTGTATTCTACATACATACACGACTAATGACCATAATTGAGCCCAACATTTTTCTGTAGCTAAGAAGAGAATTATTAAATGAGTTTTACTCCATTTTACAACCTCTCTTGCCACAGATGTTAAGTGAATCACGGCAGTTGTTAATAACATGATTATTAGGGGATTCTGGCTTGCCCATTGACTTTGCTTGTCAGAGGTTTGCAAAAGTGATCAAATGACTCTGGAAAATTGTAACCAGAGATGCGTTACTGCCTGTTCAGCCAAACTGGTAGTGGAATTCAGACCTGGATTGGAGAATTGGCAGTGCCCCAGGCCTATCACGCCCCCGAATCGGTTCCCTTGCTGCTGCTGCTTGCCCGCTGCAATTTTGGATTTTAGTGACTGCACGTGCGCAGTTCACTGTAAATTGTTCTGTGCATGCACACAGAACAATTTATATTGAAGAGTGCGCACACACAGGTTGCATGCGGGTTGTGAACCAGCAGTAATGCTAGCAGCAACCCACTCCTGATTGTAACCCTCATAAATATGAATCTGTTGCCAAGCATCTGAATTTTGATCATGTGGCCATGGGGATGCTGCAATGGTCGTAAGTGTGAAAAGTGGTCACAGGTCCCTTTTTTCAGTGCCTCTGTAAGTTCAAATGGTCATTAAATGAATGTTTGTAAGTCAAGGACTACCTATACAGAATCTTTTTCACAGGCATTCCAAGTATGATATTCTTTTTTTAAAAAGGCAGAGTTTACTACCACCAAGATCTGCATCACCCTAGCCTTCAAGGATTTCCACAGCAGCCCTGCGCCAAGGTGGCGCAGTGGTTAAATGCAGCACTGCAGGCTACTGCTAGATCAGCAGTTCAGCGGTTCAAATCTCACCGGCTCAGGGTTGACTCAGCCTTCCATCCTTCCGAGGTGGGTAAAATGAGGACCCAGATTGTTGGGGGCAATATGCTGACTCTCTGTAAACCGCTTAGAGAGGGCTGAAAGCCCTATGAAGCGGTATATAAGTCTACTGCTATTGCTATTGCTATTCATTGTGTATGGCCAGGTATGGGCCCTACACTTGAGTGCCATCCATTTTCAGTGCTTAGTCATAAGATAGCAAGCGTTATTTCTAAATCAAGAGCTAAAGAACTTAATGTAACTGACATGAACCATCTTGAATGACTGATTAAACAAAAATGCAGGCAAATAAATAACTAAATAAACAGTTTAGCAAAATCAGAAAGGAAAAAAAATGATATAAAATAATGCAATATCCTCATTTCATATTATGTGGCATTTGAAATTATCTCCAATTTTAAAAACAGTTTTCAGGATGATGCAAGAATCATATTATAGAGACAACTAAGTCTTGGAGTACTATGAAGGTTGACCAAATTCAATTTTTTTTAAAAAAATATCATGGCCATTTTTCACTATTTAGCAAACCACTATTCAAGAGATAGCATAATCCTATCACATTGAATATAAGATTTTGTACTTGAACATTGAAACCATTATCTCTAGTTCTAAACTGTCAGATAACTGTCATGTTAGTAGCATAAGATACTTTTGAATTTTTTTCTCTTTATTCCATTATTAATTTTGAAAATTTCAAGAATATTATTTAAGGGGAGAAATGTTACAATCCATTTAACTACTGTATATAAAACATGCTCACTATTGTCAAAGTTTTTCTCATTCTTCATGCCTCATTGTTGACAATTATTACAAAGACAGAGCTCTGTGGAAAAGGCTCTGTTGCTGAGAAAGGGGAAGGACTAGAAAAGCACAAGAAGATGGGGTGGCAATATGTATACCTCTGGGAGATCTGAAAGAACAGGTTAGTAATAGAATATCATGGGCAGGGGTGAAATCCACTTACCTTTGCTACCGGTTCAGTAGCAAAGGACTCCCACGCATGTGCAGAGGGTCAAAAATGGACGTGATGACATCCGAGTGGGTGTGAGGAGCCTGTTATTGATTGCCTGCAAAGGTAAGTGAACAGCGAGGCGGGGGGATCCACTGTGCCACATGATTTAGAAAGGATTTCCTGCTTTCTGGCTAATATAAATCGCATGTCACAGCTGATCATTGGAAAAACCGGTTCGCCTCAACTGGTTTCATTTTTTTTTTTACTACCGGTTTGGGTGAACCAGTAGCATTTTTACTACCAGTTCGGTCGAACTGGGAGAACCAGTCCAAACTTGTACATTTCATCTCTGATCACGGGGAAGATCTATCTATATGATCACGAAGAGTCAAAAACTCCTGAATGGCACATCTAAGGATTCCTTAGATGAAGTAATAATAAAGAGGTCCTCTTTATTATTGTAACCTATTTTTAAAAATAAATTAATTTTGTAGAACAGTGACCAAACTTCTCACCTGCCTTTGTCTTTTACCTATTTAAGATTTTGATCTTGGGTGGTATCTACACTCATGTGCTAAGATTAATAATTATATTTCTATGCCACCACTATCCTCCCTATACTATGCTTTGGTATACAGTTGCAAGAAAAAGTATGTAAACCCCTTGGGATTATGTGGCGTTTTGCATGAATTGATCATAAAATGTGCTCTGAACTTCATCTAAATCACAACAATAGAAAAATACAGTCTACACAAACATTAGATGTTGCCATGGTTTCATTGCACACAACACGTAAACATTCACAGTGCAGGGAGGAAAAATTATGTGAGCCCCTAGACTAATGACCTCTCCAAGAGCTAACTGAGGCCAGGAGTGA